TTTCCCTGGGGGGGTGAGGGGCTCCAGGGGCAGGAAAAGCCCAGGGAGGGGCTGCGTTTGCCAGGCTGCGAGGCAGGAGAGTTGCTATAGCTTGCAGCTCAGATACTGCCCCCTGCTGAGCTGGGGAAGGGGGTGAAAGGCAAGGGAAGGCTGTCTTTGCAGGGACTGCAGAGAAGGAGCTGCTGCCTGATGCCCGGAGACCCCAGGAGCACAGAGACGGGCACCAGAGAGCGTCCACAAACCACGTGCAGGGACACGGACAGTTCCACTCCCTGAGACACCACGCCAGGGGCAGTGCACATGGGATCCCCAGTACACTATGTGCAAATGAGAGACTGTGTAAATAATTTCTTCAGGGTTTATTAGTTGGTATATCAATGTGTTTGTTTAATGGTTATTTGTTATATTGTAAATAATTAAATCTTGTAAATAGTTTGAGAATTGTCTCTGAGGGTGCTTGATTGTAAGGGGAGGCTGTCTGCTCAGGGGCACTGCAGCAGCTTCCCAGAGGGGCTGGGTAGGGCTACTGGCTACTGGGTACCCCAGGATCCCACTATTAAGGTGAGGATGCATGTTATGTCATGCCCAGGGTTACATATTTAAGAAACTTTTCTAAATTTTCAGTTGTCTCATCAAAATATGTATTTTGCTTGGTCAGTTTGAGACTGATCCTTTGCTGAAGCTAACTTACATTCAACTATTCCTATCACATTGAAGATGCCTACTCCTGCTACTTTCCTTCCACTCCAGATAATGAAATTAATAGAGACTTTTAGTCCTGTAAATAGAACTGTATGTGTAGACATAAACCAGTTAGACACTGAATGGGCTCTATGACTCACTTGTACACTTCCTTTTTACGGAACTAGGTTGTGATAGTGTTTAGTTTCCACTCCATTCTATTTAAATCTAAAGGCAGAGAATCCTTTTGTTAGGCCTAGGCAATTGTTTATTTAAACGCCCATATCTGTAAATAATAATAGTAATAATGGTAATATTTAAAACAGACACTGAACAGATGCAACATATGCTGGCTGAACTGTCTGACAAGAAATTCAGGAATCAATATCTTAATTGTCCCACTGAATGTGTTTTTAGCAAAGCTGCCTAAGAACTGAAAATACTTTTAAAATATCTAACTTCTGATTAATACTATAATTGCTAATGCTACTGAAAATAAGTCAGGATATCCATTAGCAATGTTGGCAGAATGTTCAACAAAGAAGGTGTTATCTCCAGACAATACCATCTTTAAATAAATAATTCCAGCTTAAGTGATCTTGTCATCATACAGCAGTGGTGTCAGTTTATCAGTTTGTTTAGCTAAGTTTCCATGGTGAAAAAGATTTTAGACTGACAATGAAGGAAATGCTTCAGGCAATGACAAAAGCCAAGAGGATGTTATTTGATTATTAGTCTGATACAGGGGCTATCTCTTCATTACATGTGCATGAAGTGCCTAGCATAATGTGTTTGATCACTGATTGGGACCTTTAGGTTTTACTACAAAACAAATTAAAGAATTATAATGATAATTAAAGTCTAAACCACGGCTATAATTATGATTTTGTCAGTAGCATTGCATTTTCCAGGAGGTTTTATAAGTCACTTGTAAAGTGTTGCCACTGTCTGAAACAGTGCTGAAAATGCTAAGGGGCACTGAACACTTAAGGAGCTTGAAAATATAAGTTTAAGTAGTATGAGTGCAAATGACAAATATATAATTATCAGCACTATTTTCTAAGTCTTTATATTGCTATATCTGCTGACCATTTAAGTGAAATTGAGTGCAGTTACCAAATGCATTTAAAATAAGTTTCTCCAATGAGAAGAGACAGTCCTTCAGTTAGAAATTTGTCTCTAGAAATAGTCAGTACCTCACATGAAAGTTAAGTGTTTTATTTTACAAGACTTTCTAGCACGAGTTAGAATACCTGCACATGTTATTTATGAATACATGTGTGTGTGAATAAAATTATGTTTAGAAGTCATGATAAAATATTGTCATTGAGTTGGAAGGGACATCAAAGATCATCTAGTCCAGCAACCTGCACAAAAGCAGGATGTGTTCTTCCTATACTATCCAAGGCAAATACCTATCCAACCTCTTTTTTTATAAACTTACAGTGGGTAACTCCTTCCTGTTCTGACAGTAAGGGAGTTTTTTTCCTGATATTTATCTAAATCAACTTTACTACAGTTTAAAGCCATTGCTTTCTTTCTGGTTTAATATATCAATGAATTCCCAGTTAAAGTATGCTCTGGCAGTGATTTCTTTATGTACCAAAAAATAAATAAATCACTAGCTTAGTATATGGTAGGCTCTAATGATTCTAAAGGAATGCATGCATCAGACATGCTACATGATGTTCTTTAAGGTCAGAACTTGATGTCTTTACTCATTCTGTGTAGCACCTCATGCTTTGAAAAGTCTATTCAGATCAGTAGAATTACTCTTGTTACTGCTTAATGGGTGTGTAGGTTTCAGAACTAGTTCTTCATTTTTACTCAGTCTATCCTGGGCTAAATGTCCTTTGAATAGAGCCCTATGACAGGCAGAACCATTGCCATTATAAATAATGACTCTTCAGGGCAGATTAGGCCAGTGGATTTAGGATGGGCAGTAGCTCTGCATTTATTCCGCAGGGATGGAGGCAGTCTTAGAGTTGGCATGTAGTAGTCTTTCCCTTGGTCCTTTCTATAAATTGCTCTCCTTTCTCTTATAGATAGATATATCTTATAGATAGACAGATTGCACATTTGAAAGAGCCATGTGGATACCACATGAAGAACTGCTGCAGTACAGAAGAACCCCCCTGCCCCCCCCCCCACACACATCATATACCTCTGGTTATGACGTATCACCCCTTCCTCGAACCCATATGGACAATCCTCAAATGCTTGCAACCCATACTAGAAAGAGACCCTATTCTTAAAAAGATCATCCTAGAGCCACCCATCCTAGCTTTCAAACAAGCACCAAACCTCACCAACCTTATCACCAGAAGCAAACTTCCTCA